TTTATGGGCAAAAGAAGGGCTGTTCTATTTGTGTTGTAGTAATACAATGTTCTAAATGTTTGGGCAGCCCAAACACTGCTGATGGCATGGTAACTAGATGAGCAAAACTTGGATGACTTGGGATGTGAATGGCACCATGCTGGTATATTTGTAACAGTGGGTTAACATCCAGAAAATACCTGAGTGGTTAAAAATACTCAAGAGGATGGATAGGCAGACATTTCTGGAGGTAACCTGAGTCCCAGCCAGTACTCCTGAGAATGGTTGAGAGTCTTTCCATCTTTTTCAGTGGCTGGTGTACAGAATGCGAGAGTTAATTTTACAGGTAAATGGCTGTAGGACCAGGCCCCTCATGAGGAAAATAGCATCAGCAAATCATCAGAAATCAAGATGTTGTGTGGGGCCCTCCCAGGTCCTGGTAGCGGCTCTGATGCTGATCCCTAGGTCATAACCTAGATGCTATTAGGAATGTTGTCACATCTGGGTTAGCCTGTGCTCTGTAATGGTCAGATCATTGCGCTAGCAGATCCAGAGAAGGAATAGAAGGATCTAATAGCTAGGGCTGGCTGTGGCTGTACTGGTAGAGTGGAGACAGGAGGTTTGGTGACGATGCAGTTGCTTCCCTGGAATATGACAGAGATTGCTAAAGAGGAACCAACAGTTCAGTTGCTTTAATATTCCTCTGATAATCAGGAAACACCCCAATATGGAAAGCTTCATCCTTTCCTGTCTCATTTAGTGGTAAACTTGAAAAATGAAAACCAAAGCCAAACCCCAAATCCTATGTAATATAATTGTATAAACAAATACAGTTATTCAGTTCCACAGGTTAACTCCTATTGATAGAGAGGGTTTCTCTCCTCCCTTTTGACTTCTCTTGATTCAGTTGAGCATCCCCTTATACTGTATCAGGAGTAGGAGCAAATAACCTCAGTTATTTGTCTTTGCTGCAAAAGAAACAATTGCAGAATTTACAGTCAGTCTCACGGATCATCCCTTGTGCACTTCCACACGCTTTCATTGCCCTTCTCCTTTCCTCTCCTGCCTCTGCCATGTCCCTTTTGTCAAAGAATGACCAGAAGCGCACATAGCAGTCCAGATTGGGGGATTGCTGCTGCTGATGTGCCTAATAGGATTATAAGATTTTCAGCATTAATCCTTATCCTGTTCTCTAGGCAGACTAAACTTTTACTTAGATTTTTGCCTCCTGTTGCACAATTAGTTGACTCTTCAGTGATTTCTCTACAGCTGCTGTTTTGTTTTTAAAATGTGATTGTAATTGATGTCAACCTCCAGCATGGAGCAGGGTAAGAATTGTTAGACTGTTGTGGTTATTTGTTTAGTGCTGCAAGTGAGCTTTTCCTAACTCGCTGATGAATGTCACTACTTCCTTGCCATGAGGGTATGTGTGTGTTTTAGCCCAGACTGTAGGAACATAACTCTGTAGCTTTAAACGTAGCAACTATTACATCAGACTCTGGGAGGTTTGCTGATCAGGATGTCTGCTCCTGCTTTTTCACAGAGGGTAAGAGAGACAAAGCTTTCCAGGGCACATAGCTCATTCAGAGGAGCTTTGGAAGATGGAAATGGGTGGGGAGTGGGTTGACTCTGTGTTTGTAGCCTGGTTTCCTAAGGAAATGAGGCTTAAGCAGTCTGTTTTTCCACTGCTGCTAAGATTTGGATCTGCAAAGCGATTGTGGCCAGAATAGCTGCATCAGAGAGGTCTCAAATATTAAGTTTCTACATTATTCATAGGAATTAGCTGCTGGGCAGGAGATTGTCTCATAGCAGTGTCTGCGAGGAGGTAAAAGCTGCAGTGTTAATTCTATAGGTACGTCATTAATTTGGCTTGCCAGCTGGCAGACACCAGTCAGGTGGTCAATGCATGTACCATGGAAGGAGTCATAGCACATGTGGTTCCCAGGTCAGCTGGCAGTTGCGGGAGGGAACCAAGAGTCTGTGCTGCAATTTTGGGAATGTGTGAGGAAAGCCCAAGGTCTTGTGGTGTGGTTCAGAGAACATCAGGTAGAACTGGAGTGTTGCAGAAGAAGATTAGAGAGATGAGGAGGAACTGGGGAATGACATGGTTGCAGTTTGTGTGGCTTGGACTGCTACCTCTCAAACTGTGGGCTGGCAGGATAACTGTCAGGAAACAGCTTGTTTTAGAGGTGATGGGCTGATATTCAGTGGAGGAGCAAGGAGTACAGGAGCTCCAGGGTGTGGGAGAAGACGTAGAAGGAACAGCTGAATAAGAAGCTGGTGGCACTACACTCATTAAAGGAGAGAAAGAACTAGGTGAGATGTGATAAAAGACGAAATCAGCAGTAGTTAGGAGCAACATTTTTCAGGCACTGGAAGGCAAAGATAAGAATATTACTTTAGCTTGGTAGGCAAAGATAGCCTGGATGTGTATGTGTGTGTGAGGGAGGTGGAAGAGGTTTAAACACTGGTGTGTCCAGGTGGGATAGAGATCAGTAAAGCACACGAGGAGGGCTGGAAAGGAGACTTGGTCAAGAAATGACTTACTGACTTGGGCAAAGGGACAAAGAATCAGCCTTGGTTTTGTGTATAGCGTGCAGGAGGAGTGATTTGGCAACAGTCTGGCTGTGGGGATGAAGGAAGGCAAGAATCAATGATAACATTACACAGGAAGCTTAGATGAGAGGGAAGAGAGAAGTGTTGTCTTCAGCAGGGGAGAGGGACTCAGGGAGATTGATGTGTATGTTTGACTTAAATCAGTTGTATTCAAACCTGACCCAAAGCCCAGTGAAGACTGGAATATAGCCACGTGCAGGTATTTGTTTCCAAAACCCTGAATATGCTTTACAGAAATGCCCAAACGTCTTTTATCTTTCGTTTGTAGGGTATACCCAGAGATTAAGTGACTCTAAGACACATAGTAAACTACAGCAATGACAAGACTGGGATCCAACATTCCTTAAAACAGTTTTCGGTTGGGTAAACCATAGTGGTAATAAATGTCCATATATGCACACAGTATGCTACAAGGCAAATTGGTGAAACTCTCAATCTCCAATTTAGGGAGAGCACATCACCTTATTAAGTGTCTCTTGCTCTGCATATGCAAAAGTATTACAGTTTCCTTCCCTCAAGTGTTTATTGTCTGCAACTAATTATTTTCTAGTGATCCTGTAAACTGCTTCTTCATGATCCAGTTACTTTCTGTTACCAACACAAACTGAGGAAATGAATATCAATCATTCAGTGGTTATTTGCAGGAAATAAAAGCGTGAGATAGCAGCCAGCCTGGGCCAAGAAGGAAGGACAGAAATGGGGTACTTTTTATAACTAAAGCCAAAACTGTTGTTCGTGTATTTGGCTGTTAGTTTTTGAATATTGTGGACCTTTCTTCCTTTTGTGAGCTCAGAATTCTTTGGATTAGGTCCTGCTACCATTGAACTCAGAGGGAATATTTGTTACTAGTTTCAGTGAGAACAGGATCAAGCTATTGTCTGTGTGTCCTTCCTTGCCTTAACTCATGTTGCTGTTTGTTCAAAAATGTGTTTTGTTTCCCAGAATCTCTCTGAGCATTTGTATCTAACCTTGCATATAGCACAGTCCCTGTGGGTGAAATAGGTTTAGAGCTGAGCGTTTCTAGCACAACTTTTTGAAGCCAGCGTGAAACGTCTGTAAAATACTGAATCTCCTCACTCAGTAGGTGCTTTTCTGAAGTCTGCATTGTGCTTCAGGTTTTGCTAAGTGATGCTACAGTAAGCATGATGAATAGCAGCAAATTGTCTTCGATCACTGCTTTGGAAATCAAGATGTGTGCTGGCTCACCCCATTCTTTCACAAATACCTTCTTGAGCTACGGGAAGTACAATGGTACACCATATCCCAGAGTGTTAATTTTTAATGTCTTATGCACGTAATGGACTCAACTGTAATTATGAGTCCCATGGTACACAATCACTACTGGCAGGATGGAAAAGACGACTGTGGGTCCATGTGGCTCCACTATTAGGGATTGAAACATTGATCATTTCCATTCCCAAGAGCAGCAGAAACAGCTGTATAAATTTAAGGCAAAAGCTCCAGCGGATAGAAGGCTAGTTGCAAGCCAATAAACATTCCCCTGCAATCTATTAAATTCTGATTTTGCAGCATCATCCTGCTGCATTGAATAAAACTGACTGAAACCTGGGCAGGGCAAAGTGTTTTTGACAAGCCTATGCTTATGTCCGGAATTATCAAAGTGAATAAGCAGCTAGGAAGTGATGCAGAGGGGATTTAGTACAAAAAATTCTCAATGCTTTTTTCTCAGTAGTGCTATTTCTAACTTACAGATCTTTCTTTCTTACATGAAATCTTAAAGCTGACAACATCCCTTTCAGACCTGAAAATGAAAGGAAACTGTCTGAAAGAAGAGTAGAGCTGAGATTTTTTTTTTAGACCTGATCCTGTTGGCATATCTTGGTGGGCAAATTCCTCCTCCTTTGAGCCCAAATGGACTTTGCTGAACAGTGGAGGGCTCTTCCCTTTAGCAGGTTTAATGTAGGATAAAGCTCCAGAATTCAAACCCTTGCGCCAGTAGAACTTGGATGCTGCTTTTCTATACTGAATAGAAGTGGAAGAGTTTTTAGACAAATGATTCTCAATTTTGTCTTGTGTCAGAAAGCAAAATTCCTGTATTCCTGGTGTCACAGTAGATTATTTGAAATCAGATTTTTAATCTACTTTTAAAAGTGCAGTGGCCTGCTTTGTTTTCTGTGTAACTCATAAGGTACAGCTATGGAAACCATTGCAAAAGGAAAGTCAGCCTGAATCCCTGCTATTCATTTATGTCACTGGCAATAGTTTCTCTGAATTCAGTGATGCAGAATCATTCCTGTACTGTACTTGGTGCACTCGAGCTTAAATCAAGTCCTAGCACTTTTTACTAGTGCAAGAAACATATTTAACAGACGGGGGGGAAAAAAAGGCTTTTTCTGTGACAGGAAATCAATTTAATCTGTTTGTTTTTTGTTTGTTTTTTCCAGGCTTATATTTGGTACTCTTTACCCTGCATATTATTCTTACAAAGCCGTGAAATCAAAGGACATCAAAGAATATGTGAGTAATGAGGTTTGTGGCTGTGCTGCAGGCTTTATTTTCTAAGATTGCTCCTCACCACGTTGTAAAGGTGTTGCCTGTATTCTGGGAGAGCTCGTAAACCGGTGCAAGGCTGGCCTGAAGGTGGACTGGCTGACTGCTAGGCACAATCCTCATATAAGGAGACTTGGGTTTATGCTTCTGGCTGCTCTGCAGAGTTGATGTGCTCTTTGACAAATGTATGCTATTTCTCTGGTGGTGCGAGCTATATATGGCTGACTTAAAAGGTGTTTGGCATCCAGAGCTTTGCGTGTTTTTCTTTGTTTCTGAAGAGCAGCATAAATCAAATCCTTTTCAAACAGCCTTGAAGCTTTAGCTGCTCATTCAAAACAAAGATCAGAGGAGGCAACTCGAAGCACATATGACTGAATCCTCAGATAAAAACAGCTTTCTTTGTGGAGTGACCTATTTAGAGGCAGGTCTGGCAACTGGGTGTTCTGTCTTGTCCTTTTGCTGAAAAATCTTCCCTGGGCCCAGTTTCTAAAGGCATATGGGGTCTTCGGGGAAAGTGAATTGTGGGAGAATCAAAACCACTTGGATGCTGTTGGGGTCCTGTAGGATTTGCAGTGCCCTTCACAACCTGAGCTCTGTTAACTTCACTGAACCTGGTGTAGCCTCCAGATCTTGACTCTTCAATCCTCTCAAGATCCCAGGGATAACAAGCCCATTTTCTCTTCTGGGTAAGAGCATAGGTGGCTATCCCATTAAGTCCTTAGTGCAAGTTCAAACTGGGACTTACGGTGGCTGCTGAGGTTTTTCCTTTCTATCAGTCCCCTCCTCCAGATAATGGTTTTGGATATTTCGCAAATCCTAAGTGTTACAGAACACAGCAGATACTTAAGAGAAAATGTCCCTACAGCCCTTGAGCAGCTGTGCTTCTGAAGATTTGTACACCCTTTGCTTGGAAATGCTGAAAACATGCACTAGCATCCCCAAGCAGTGTCTGCCACTGATATTTCACATTTCTATAGTACTTTTCTGGAAAATATTTTGTTGAAGGGGTCCAATTCCTGTTGGAAATTAAATTGCAAAAGAGGAACTCTCATCAGACATATGGGGTCATGACCCAGATGTGGAGACAGCTGATTGAAGGCCTGGTCTGCACTTACAGTTGTTTTTCAGTTCAACACACCAGTTATGGCAATACCTCTGTTAGGGGTCTGATTTAAAAAAAAAAAAAAAAAGTAGTAATTAACACTGACACAGCACCAACCCTTCATGCACCAGTCAAGACTTATATTGCTGTAGTTTATTTTTATTTTGCTCGGTAATAGTAGTTTTGATAAATGGTGTTCTAGGCTGATCCAAGCCCATCCGCACTAGGTCTTGGTTTGTGTTTAAAAAATTTTGCTGGCAGTAGTGCCTTAACTGACAGAACCGTGCTGGCAGTGAGGCTTTCACGGAGTTGCAGTTATGTAAAAAGTCTGGCAGAAGCTGCCCTGGGAAGACAATGCTCTCAGGCATTTGGCAGTGCTGTTCTACTGCTGTAACGCTAAATATAAATATACATATATATATATAAATCCCAGGGGAGCAGTTATATAGCTGGGTGACAGGTACTCAGGGGATAATTTCAGTACCTGCAGGGAGATGGAGAGAGACTACAGGTACTGTCCCCACTGCAGCAGGGAGAAAATGGAGCAAGCCATTTCAGAGCTGGTAAGATCCAGGTTTACTGAAACCTCTGTCCTCCCTTCCCCAGAGCAGCACCTACCTGGTGTAGGTATCCCTCTTGTACTGCCTTCATTCCAGCCTTCCCTTACTCTCTTGCAATTATCCCAGCTTTAGGTAGTACAGTCCAGTTCTCTAATTCATGGATTTTACTTCCTTAAGCTTTCTAACATTCCAGCAAAGCTGCTTCGCGATCTCCGTTTTCAAATATAGCTAACTAGACAGTAATTTTCAGTTAAATTAACAACTTTTGTCTTACCATCTCTTTTCCTTTAGAGCGGCAGATTCTTGAAACTATTTGAACTTTAAGTTTTACAATTTACAGTGTAAAAAAATATTGAGGGGGAATAAAAGGTTTATTTCTCATCTCCAGTACTTGGAAATTATTCCTTCCATCATCACTGTGGTGACAGTGCCATAGAAGAGGAGCGCCACGTCATTTGATAAAAATCACTGGAGGTGCTGATGACATGTGACAAAGACATTGTTTCTTTCCAGCATAAGAAGAAGCGATATTGCATACATCAGGATAGTTCAGCTGTGCTTTTAAGTGCCACTTAGTGCTCAGTCACAAAAATCCCCAGATTCCTGAATTACTCAATATACTACAGTTTCCCTGATCAAGTCATGGTCCCCAAAGACTCTTTTTGTGTCTGTCACTATCATCACAAAGGAGGCCATCCATAAATCACCCACAAAGCAGTCCAGCCCACAGTGGAATTACCATAACTGAACACGGTGACAGCACAGCACATGCTTTCACTACCAGTATGAAGTAAAATGCTCTCACCTAGGCCCTAGGTAGGAGATTTAAGCTAATGGATTTGCACTTGTCACTGCAATGGGCTCAGGGTGTGGATGTGAGGAGGCACTGTCACTCATCTGATGCACACTAATTCAATAAATTGCAGTGAGTTGATTGTGCTCGTGGACTCTCGATTGTGGGATGGGCAGCTACCTCTTTATCTCTTCCTGGCTAGTGTCCCCTGACTGTAGATATTATGTAAGTAATTACATTTTGTCTTAATTGCAGCTTGGCCAACACCCTAATGGTAACCTTTGCTATTAAGATGAGCCAAGTGAGATTTTTTTAATGCCCCGTGATAGGGCTGTGGTCCTCTCCTGGCCAGTGGAGCTTCCTCTGTAGAGGCAGAGTCAGGCTGTTCCTTTCCTGAGACCAGTCCTAAAGGCCACAATCTTCCTTCCCAAGGGCTTGTGTGGAAATTGGATGTGTGTTACATGCTGAGGTGGGGGGAGGTCTGGCAACTTCAAGTCTGTAGTAATTGCTAAATACACAGGGGAGGGGAAAAGAACCTTTTTTTTTCTGTGAGAGTTATTCTGTGCACTTGTGCCTGTATGAGGTAGTTCGAGGCCCTTGGAGAGAAATGACCCGGCTGCTGTTTTTGTTTACCAGGTCAAATGGATGATGTACTGGATCATATTCGCACTCTTCACGACAGCAGAGACATTCACGGATATTTTTCTTTGCTGGTGAGCATCAGATGGGAGAGAGTCTTTGGCATGAGATGGAAAGAAAATGTAAATGTTTACAAGGGGAAAAAAGAGGCACAAAGGTGCTCTGGCGCACCGCCTCCTGAACACATGGTTAGCAGATTCAGGTGTGTAGAAGTGTCTTGTCTGGAAGAGCCATATTTCCTTTCTCAGTGCTGTCATAGGAAAAGCAAGAAAGAGGATGGAACTGCTCAATGATATCTCATTAGTGAGAAATCATTACAGGAGTCTCAGTCCCCTGCCTGTCAGAGAGAGGCACAGCTGATTGCTGAGTTGGATGCTTGCAGAGATCATCACGTAAACAGCAATAGCTTTAGCTGCAGGCATAGTTCTAGACTTACCTAGCTGTGTTTTATGGTAAGTACACGGACTCTAGGGATCAGGCAGAAAAAGCCCAGCAGCACAGGACTTTGTTTGTAGGTTGCTGCATGGGTGGTTGTTCCTGGGATGTTTTGCCAGGCCCATTCCTGGTTAGGCTGGGTTTACAGTTTGATGGAGGACAGTGACAGTCCATACTGACGGGGGCTCTGGTGCCAGCGGAAGGATTTCTGGTGACCTCTGTCAGGACAAGAGCACATAAATGCCTGTTTATCAGATTCAGTTCCTTACATTTGGATGTTCAAGTTTGGAAATATTTGTTGCTTGGTTGCCCTTTTTAGTAAGGCCTTTCTAGGGTAAAACAGTGAGATTGGTAGACTTGGGGATGAAAATTTAACTGTAGTGCACCGCCCTCACCTAAAGCCCATTCTTGTGTAGTACTGCATGCCTCTAGTGAGTCCTCCAGACAAAGGGAATTCGAGGTACTTGGTGACATGTCAGATCTGTTGAAAATTATATAAAAGACGTTATTGTCTATCTAATTTGCATGCAGATCTACCGCCACTGAGTTCACCTGGAACTTTGTTTTTTTGGAGGATATATTAGTGGGTCTCTTGGGAGGAATGACAGAGGCTTGTCCATCCTGTGAAATCAAGTGTGCTGTAGAGATCCTCAGTGAGGTGGAAGACCAACCTGGCAAATCTGTACTTGGAGTAGAGCATCACAGAGGCCCGTTGGGTCAGACCTGGATGCTGTGTGGTCTGGCTGGCTGGGTGACAGTGCTGTTCTAGCACAGCAGGAATCTGTCTGGGTCCAGCTGGGCTGGTGCGCAGCCACCACAGCGCCTCTGGGCTGCTCTCGCTTGCCCCTGCCTACAAAGGGCAGCATTGGTTCATCACGCTGCTGGCAGAAACATGCTGGCCTGCATGAAGATGCTGCTAGCTGACCGGCCTTAAGATCTAGGCTTTGTCCTCCAGAAAAGAGTCTGGATAATCTAATCTGAATAATTCCCTGGCTTGTTGTTACAGCTAAAGCATGTCCTGTTGTTAGTTAGTGTCCTGCTCCCTGAAAGTCACAGTGTGGATTTGCACCTTTATGTTGCGTGTTGCTTGGACAACAAAGGTTCTTGTGTTTCAGTCAGATAAGTGTTATCTTAAAAGCGGAAAGGCAGAAAGATGAAATGTGCATAAATATACCAATGAAATACTGATTTGCTGGTTTGCTCTTTGCTCCCTCATAATGACGGGGATGCTATGAAGGCAGCACCTGTGCTCTTTGTGTGTAGAAAGCTCCTCTTATCACATAGAAAAGCCTCTTCCAGAGCATTAAATAATGGCCTCGATACCCAAATAAATATTTACCCACATGCCTAGTTGAGATACGTGCAAATTTAGAGTGAATGTGTTTAGGTATTTGGATTCTTCAGCAAGCAAAAGCTGCTCTAAGCTAGAATGGCCAGTCCCTTCCAGTTCTGAGCATCTCTAATTAAGGGCAGTGGTTAAATTGGGAGCAGACATTAACAGCTCTTTTTCTTCTAGGTTTCCATTCTACTATGAACTCAAAATAGCTTTTGTAGCTTGGCTGCTGTCTCCATACACAAAAGGCTCCAGCCTTCTGTATAGGAAATTTGTTCATCCAACGCTGTCTTCAAAAGAAAAGGTAATCACAGGTATCTGGGTCCTCTCTGGGTGGAGCAGATATACAGTGTGTTTACTCCAGTCTTTGTGTCACTCAATTGAAGGACTGGGAGTTGCTGATTCTCTATCATTTGATCATCTCCTTTTGGTTGGTGCTTTTGTTTTTTATGGTTGTTGTGTTTTTAAATACTGGCACTTGTTCAGCACACTCACACATATTAACTCATCTTTGGCCACTTGAGAAACTGGGAGAAGAGGGGGGACAAAAATACCTCTTGAGCTGCTTTGCACATACTGGCTGAATATAGCTGGAGTGCTATGTTGTGGCTGGATGTAATGGTTAGAGAAACAGGGTCTGGCAGCCAGGACTCCTTAACTTTGTTCCCAGCTCTGCCTAAAACATTGTGCAGCAAGGAGACAAATAGCCAAGCCTGTCTGAAAGGGGCTTAACAAGAACCTGCCTGGCTGAGACGTATGGCATGCTGAAGTAAGGCATGTAGCAGGTTGAGGTCCTCGATTGAGAAATGTCTTGCTCAAATTCATGATGCTAATTTTGGGGGAGAGGGGACATTACAGCTTGGGTCATTTGCCTGCCTAGGAGATTCCTGTGGCTGTGAATGGGACATTGTCAGGCAGATCCACTGGGCTCATGTGGATGCACGGGCCTAGAATAGCTATCGGTCACATATCAACATGCAACTACTAAGAAGTGAATAACTTTCCCACATTGGCAACTATGGAAGTGAAAGATGTCTGTTTAGCTACAGGCAGTGCATGAACAGTTGTATCTCAGCCCTGTCCAAGAAGGACAGTGGGATGAGTCCTCTGTCTCTCTGCTTCCTGGGAACTTCTGCTTGTGCTTCTCACGTGTAGTGCATTTTCAGTTGCCACTTCTTACCTACTAGGAATGAGGAGGGAATCACTAAACAGCCAGCAGCTGCTCGCAGCCAGCAGCTTCTTGCAGCCTCCAGTCCTTACTAACCCAGCACATCCAGTAGCTGAGTACTAGAAGTCATTGTCATCCATTATCATCCAGACCCCTGTACGGAGGGAGGGAGGGTGAGGGTGAGGGCAGGAACTTTCATAACCATTTCACTGTATATTGAGCAGCAATGTACAGGTCCAGAAGCTCTGGACCTACCAATTCCATGGGCACGTTGCAGTCGGACACTGCAGTGATGTAGAGAGATATCTCAGATACTTCTGAGATGACCAGTCCTGAACCCAGGGCAGTACAGCTGCAGCTGCCCAGAGTCATGATCCCTTGGGGCAATCCAGTTCGTCTTTAGAGTCCATAGATTGCAAATGGCTCCTGACACACCTTGGTGCATTCTGCCCAGGTGGATGCGTCTGTCTTGCTTCCAGGACCTATTGGTGGTGGTTGCATTGTGTGAGTGTACCCCAACTTTGAGTCTCAATCTCCCATTCACAAAATAAAGAGTTCCCAAAGCCTGCAATGGGAGTTACTGCTCCCCTGCAAACCTTTCCTCTTTGCAACAGCTCCATTGGCTGTGAACTTCTCTCCAGCCAAGGTGGAGGAAGTGGAGGATGTCTGCCTCCATAAAAGGTGACCTGGCCTTGCCAAGAGTTTGAGGCTGGGAGCGCTCTGAATTTGTCCTTGTGCTTTTTTTTTGTTTGTTTGTTTTGTTGTCTGCTGTGACAGGAGATCGATGACTGCCTCGTCCAGGCAAAAGACCGGAGCTACGATGCCCTCGTGCACTTTGGGAAGCGGGGGCTGAACGTCGCAGCCACGGCAGCTGTCATGGCAGCTTCAAAGGTAAAGGTGGGGGTCAGGATGGTGACTCATTAGCATCTCATCTGCATCCATCACCACCAGCAGCCACAGTGTGGAGGGGGAGAGACGGTAAGGGTAGGGATCCTCTCACTCATTTTGATCATGCCTTCCAATCTCCCATTCACCAGCCACACAGGTGCCTCTTGGGATGAAGACAATAAGTGCGGTGCATACTGAACCTATAAGAGATTAGAAATGAGGGATTAAGACTAAGGTTTGCCTCAGGCCTCTGCTGAATTTTGTATTTTCCTTTAGTAGCCAAGTGGCAGTGTTAGCAGTTCTTTCCATCACAGCCTGTGCTCTTCATTTTCACTGTCAAAATAGGAGCATGCTTCCATGAAAGATGCTGACATTAGGTGAAAACAGTTAACACCCTGCCAGGGAAATATTTTTTTTTGGTCAGCACCTTCTGTGGTGAGGGGAAAAGCCACCTGCAGCCCAGTTTATCAATTGTGTTGTGCTGAATTGTTGAGAAGTCTGGAGGATCTAGAGACCTATAATTTGGATACTGACAGAAAACAGGTGTGATTTGAGGTCCGTGAAGGCTAAAAGGTTGTCTGAAAGGCTTACACATAACATACCTGGTGTATAATTCTCTAGAGGCATGTTTGTGTAAGAGTGAATGGAAAGTGGCATTAGTTGCTTTTGGAGAACAAGTATATATTGGATGAGTGGTCTCCTCTGAGAAAGTGTATCCTGTACTCTGCTCCTGGCTTAGAGTCAGAACCAGAAAATAGCTATTATTTCTGTTTCTTTGCTTGCATAGAAGCTGCAAGGACTTGATCATTTTGTGGTCCTGCCCTCTGGCCATGGATTATCGTGGCCTAGGGTGGATATGCTCAGTGACTATACCTGTGTGTTTTGGGGACAAAACTTGTATAAAAGATACAGCTTTCATGCAGTCAGACACAATACCTCTTGCAAAAGGATAATAGAAACATAGGGTCAAGTTGGGTATTGGTATTAGGAAAAATGTGTGAATGGGAGTTAAAGGAAATTATTTTCTGCTGTCAGATGCTTTTCGTATGACCTCAGGCACATCATTTTAGTATGTCTTGGCCTTACCTTCTGTAAAAGTGCATAATACATCTTAGGAGGCCAAATACCATTAAGTCTATAAAGCATGTTGAATGCAAGGTATTATAGAAGTGGAGATCCCCTGGGTTGTGCCATGCACATGTACAATCATAAGGATATGCAAAAGCTATATCCTGTTCCAAAGAAAAAAAAAAAAAATCAAAAATTGCCTCCCTTTTCCCTGCCAAGCACTGTGCAGACTGTGACTCTCAGGCCTGGCTCAGTTCTCCTGAACTCTTGCTCTTCAGTGGGGAGGCTCTGCTAACCCAGGGACTTCCAGCTAATCCAAACCTGGACTGAAACCTGGGATAAATGTGGAGCTAAGGCAAAGCTGTGTATTACATGTCCAATGAAACATCGTTTGTATGATGCCTCCATGACACTTAACACTTTTGCTGCTGCTATGTAAGCCTGAAGAAGTCATACCATGGACATAAATAGGCTCTGGGAATGCCTATTTTGCAGCACTGCCTTTGCCCTGCACCCCTTCCTACAAGGTGCTGCAGACTTTCTGTGCTAGGGCTGTTTTTAGGACAAAGTGAGAAACTGTGTGAATCCTGAAGGAACTCTGGCTTCTGTTTGGGTAACTTCTGCATATGAGAAGCTCAGCAGTAGCCCAGACCCACAGTGCCAACCTGTTCTTCTCAGGACTGCATCAGTGTCTTCATCAGTTCTTCAACCTGAATGAACAGTCGGCGCCACAGTTGTTCTTCCCACTGTTCTGCTTTTCTGGTGTTTTTCTTAAGAATCTCACTGCCTTGGAATGTGTCTCCAGTGGCAATGTGAAGCTGGGAAGAAGGGAGAAGAGTCTCCAGGGTACAAGGAAGACATTGTTTTGTGTGAGCTCCCCACTCAGTGCTGGAAGAAGGCAACTCTGTGTTTTCTGTGGTATTGTTGTATGGCACATCCGCCAGCCTGATTCGAGAGGAAACAGTTAAGATATTGCAACCTGTAACTGGACCAGAAGAGTCCTTCCTACACGGTACTTTGGGGAGGTGGAAAATGATCTGTTGTTAAGATCGAGAGGTTGTTATTGGATAGATTAATCAATTGACTGATTTATATAACAAAGCAAGGACTGCTCAAGTCTTTTCTTCAGCCTTGACATTTAAATTACGTTGAATATGTTAGGAAAAATAGGACTCTTGGCTTCCTTTACCACTTCTGCATGTGGCCTCCAGCAGGTTGTTTGCTTTTGTGTGCCTTGGGGCGCAGATCCAAGAGACAAGGTGAGCTAATCTGACAGCTCTCCTCCTCCAAAATGTGGTAACACTCCTGGTCCCAGTGGGTTACTCTGCACCAGCTCTTTTGACCTCCTCAGTTTACATTTAATCTATCAGAAAACTAATCCAGAAAAAGAAAGAAATCGAATACTGTTTTTCAAGCCCATAAATGTCTCCTGAATGCCTGAGCCAGCAAGAGGAAAGGGTCAGAACTACATTGTGAGGAGTATGGACAGAGGAAAGGAAATCAAGATCTTCCCTTCCTGGTTGTGGGAAGCAGATAGATTAGCTCTACTGCACATGGAACCACACCCTTAATGCATTTGCACTCTTAATGGTGTAATAGTCAGGAATGGTTAAAGCAGCTTCTGCCCCTTGCCCTTCTCAGACTGAATTTGTTGTCTTTTGGTAAGGGAGAGCTGTGATTTACAGCCTGATGTGTTGCAGTACAGAAGTGTTGAGCTGGGGTTCCTCAGGTATTCAAGACGTATAAAGTGTGATGGGTCAGGTGTGGACATGTCTCCATTTATCTGTCCTTGCTGCTGTGAAGGGAGCAGTTTCCAAGAGAGGAGTGATACAAGCAGATATGGGTGGTGACAGCTTCTGTTGCCTTGGTTTTCAGCTGCTGTTAAATGTATGTCAACGCCCTTACTTGTTCAGTTGAGAAGGAGGTATAACAGAGCTGGATTATCCTGCCTGAGAGAAGTTTAAGTGACTAATTATCTGGAAAACACTTTGAGCTGACAGATGATAGACAAGACACTGCAGTGCTGTCCTTAGAGAGAAGCTACCCAGGAGGGAGAAAAAAGAATACCATTTCTAAGGCTTATCTTGGTTTTCCCAATGCTAAGGTTTAAGGGTATCCAGCTAGCTGGTGATAAGTGTTGAGTGTAGGTAGGAAAATGAGCCCTGAACAGGGTCTTTAGGGTTCAGCCTTTAACGGATCGTGTTGAAATTGAAACCTATAGAGATGACCATTTATTGAGAAGCACTGAGCTCCTGCAGCTCCCATGGAAAACATGGCTTTTACCAGCAAGTGAATGTGAGGATTATTTCGTGCTTCACTTGGGTCAATGGGTGAGGAGAACATGCTTTTGTATTAAGAAATGGACCCTCAGACTTGACTTTGCAAGTCAGCATCTTCAGATGGCAAACACACAGTGAGATGCTGGGCTGAAAGTGTGCTCTATACATACCTGTTTTCAGTAAATGAGCTTAAATCTAAAGGCTCCTGTACTTGGAGACATGTCTCCCACTGTGCATAGTCCTATCCCCTCATCTTTCTCTGAGTGTGGTAACTGATCTTCTTGTGCTCCCACAGGATCAGACATGATCTTTTGTCTTTGGTGGTAAGATCTTTGGGCAAGGCCCATCTCTTCATTCTTTTTTTATCCATCTTGCAGCACAATGTGGCTGGTGCTCTGATTACCATTTCTGTGTGACAGGCTGCTACTTTTATATTTACCACAGGCTAAAATGCTGCAGGCTGTGCACAGCCACACCTTCATTATCTCTGATCCCCTGGCCCTTTCCCCTTTCTGTCTTAAATAGCCTACAGTTTTAGTCAGCCAAGTGCAGGCTTGTTTCCCTTCCCCTTCCTCCTGTTCCCTTCCCCTGCTCTGTTTTGTTTTGAAGCCATAGTTGTGCTGACGCTGGCACAAACTTGTGCCAATTCATTTTACAGGCTGAGGAGCTGTCAGTGTCCCAAGTACCCCGAGTTCCCAGCTGGCTCACTTGGGTGTTTTCTCTCTCTCTCTCTCCAGAGAGTCTATTTTTGATGCTTTCTAAGCAGATAGAGCATTGGATATCTGGTCTTACTATCCCTGCTAGGTGTTCAACACAGATCTTTTCCCTGCCCCCAGCAGCTTGTGTCCCCACCAAGGATCATAATCTCATTTGGGGCTCTCTAATCTTGTCCTTACTGCTTGGTCATTCTGTCACACACTGTGGCATCAAGTGGGTCAGTCCTAAGTGGCAGGATTAGATGACCGGACAGTAAATCCTGCTGCTCTTTGTTTTCAATTAGTTCCAACTAGTTCAGCCATTCCTGCTCCTGAAGGGCCCCGGGCACTGCCCACTACCTTATTTCCAGCTCGCCTTGGGAGCAGCAAGGAGAAGCAGAAAAGGAGCCTGCTTTTGGGTCACAGCAGAAGGGGAGCAGCAGCAAGACTGTTACGGCCCCAGCAGCGGGGCAGATGCAAGGCCTTGGCCAGGCAGTGGAGCCCTTAGGCAGAGGCCTGGGTGTAAGTGGGCTTTTCATTGGCACCAGCGAGGTTTCGTATGTACGCCTTTGCTGTCACCACGCTCCCAGCACTTTCTTATCCTCTGCCTGCCACCTACCACCTGTCGCCTTCCCTTGTTCTCAATCCCCAAACCTTCTACTCCCTGCTTCTCTTCCCAAGACCCATTCCGGCCCTGCCATTGCCTCCTCTGTCTCTACAACCCTCCCATCACCAGTTTCACACTCTTATCCAACTTTCCTACCCTCTCCTTCAAGCTCCTGGATTTCCCAGATCCTGTTTGCATGTATCCTTATTCCTCATTCTGAACAAACCAATTCTGCCAAACAGGCCAATATCTTTCCCCACCCCCAAGACAAATCCTGCAAGCTGCAGCTTCAATTCTGCTCTTCAAAGGAGAGCTGCAGAAAACATCCCACAGCCAGCAGATCATCATAACCTG